AGGTGAAAAACTAGGTAAAGACAGAATAGATCTAATGCATATATCTGATATGCAAATATCCATTGGCTTATCGCAGAGCCCTCCTTGGATCTTTAAATATGAACATACAACAAGAAATTTCAGGAATCTACAATTTTTCCAACTTTCATGGAATATACCAGGGTTGGCAAACTGACTGGTCCATTGCCATTAATAAAATACTAAATATGGTTATAGGGTTACACTAATGGACACAATGGACTATCAATGGACTACACATTTGCCAACCCTGGAATATACACAAATTAATCCAAAGAAATTTAGATTTGTTAAAGAATTGGGAGAAATTACAAAATTCAACATGGAGAATGATAACCCTAAAAGAAAAAGATTTTGGAGAAGATGGTGATAATCATTGCGAAACATTTTCTCCTAAACGATTGGGTAAAAGAAAATGATGATTATCAATTAATACACCGTTTTTCATTTATTTTATTTAATTTATAATGTTTAGACAAATAGTTATTGAGAATCAATGAATTGAATCATTAATTAAAACAATACCCTACAAAAAATTTAGATACTTACACTACCTGGAAGAAAGTATCTGGACGCACCTTTTTGATAATTTCGCAAAATTTTGCATAGCATAAAAAAATTTTTTTACATCAATTTGTAGCCTAGGTTCTTACGATCATGTGTATAAATTTTAATGTTTCTAGTATCTACATAAAATTTTCAATTAAAAAAAACCGAAATGTAATTAAAATCACAATTTTCTTCTCAATTTTTTTACAATTATTAGAATTTTCTCAAAATATTGTGTACTAAAAATACATAAATTTTATATAAACTTGAAGCTTAGGTTCTCGAGAATATTCTTGTAATTTTTTACCATGTGTAAATAATTATTTAATAAAATATGATAAATTTGAAAAAATTAAAAAATTTTTTTTTCAAAGATCTAGATTGATAAAAAATTTTAAAATGCCAAAAAATGAAAAGCTGACCAATTTACAACAAGCCAACATTTTGGGCCTCCATATGAGTAATAATAACCTTACTAAAATATCAAAGTTACTTAAAATTCCAAGAAGTACAGTACATGATACCATTACCCGTTACAGAAATGCTGAAAGTTTGAAAAGTGCACCAAGAAGTGGTCGGCCCAAAGCAATAAATGAAGATGACCAAAAATTTTTAAAAGAACTTGTACAAACATATAATCATAGAAGTGTGAATAAAATTAAAACAAATTTGCTGAGGCCACTGGTATTGAAGTTTCAACAAAAACGATTCACAAAAACTTTCACGAACTTGGAATTTTCTCTTGTATCACAGCTGTAAAACCATTATTAACAGAGAAACAAAGGAAAAGTTGACTGAAATGGTGTTTAGAAAGAAAAGCTTGGAAAGTTACAAAGTGGAAGACAGTAATATGGAGTGATAAATCAAGATTCAAGATTTTTAGGAATGATGGACCAAACCATGTCTGGCATACAGATGGTACACATTATAACGTTGAAAATATGGTTCCTTCTGTTAAGCATGGTGGTGGCGGAATAATGGTATGGGGATGTTTTTCTGGAAAGGGATTGGGACCATTGGTTAAAGTTGAAGGTAAAATGAATCGCCTTGAATATATAAAAATTTTAGAAAATGATTTACTACCAACAATTGGAAAACAATTTAATGGCAGGTGTTATTTATTTCAAGATGACAATGCACCTGCACATACTGCCAAAGATGTAAAAAATTGGATTATGCGAAAAAAAATTAAAGTACTACCAGATTGGCCTTCTCAATCACCAGACCTTAACCCAATTGAACATCTTTGGGCTGAACTTGAAAGGCAATTGAAAAAAAGAAATAGCCATCCTAAAAATCCAACAGAATTAGAGATTGCTTTGAAAGAGGAGTGGTCAAAAATTCCTCAAGAGAAATATCTTAATTTAATTGAAAGCATGCCAAGGAGAATTGAGGCATGCATTGCAAATAAAGGATGGGCTACAAAATATTGAATTTAATTTTTAATTTTTAAATAAATTTTTCGTCAAATTTTGTTGATCATCATTATTACAATTTTAATTGTATTTCGGTTTTTTTTAACTGAGAATTTTATATACACGCTAAAAACATTAAAATTTATATACATGATCGTAAGAACCTAGGCTAAAAATTGATGTAAAAAATTTTTTTTGTGCTATGTAAAATTTTGCGGAATTATCAAAAAGGTGCGTCCGGATACTTTCTTCCAGGTAGTGTATATAAGAAAGGTTCGTGGTTTTTTTATTCAAAATACGTGGCATTTATTCCTTATTTATGACAATTTAACAAACATTTACAATTCCTATTTCTATAAGAAATTGATTGAATTACATAGTAATAGGCTTTCTATTGAATAATCGAACGAATAAATCGAATAAATCGTTTTATTCTAATAATATAGTAATAGTATATGCTAATATGTCCAACTAAAAAAAAAATTTCTTTATCAATTCTACTTTTCCTCCGTAGTCCTTGTAACAACAACAATAATAGTAGAGTTTCTATTTGAATAACGAATGATTCGAATTATATTACTATTACGAATAATTCGAATAAGAATTCGCATTACGAATAGAAACTCTACATTGATGACACTTCCCCCCTCGGCAAGTCACTTGTTAATAATAAATAACAATGAAAGCTTCTCACTTATAAACTTGTTAATTATTCAACGTCCAATGAAGAATTAATAAAACTCGTAATCGTCTGTTAACAATAATATTGTATCGCGAAATTAATATTTCTTGATTATGACTTTATTAATTTAGAGAATTTTTCAATACATTGGCGTCGCGAGATTAATTATCTGCTAAATTGTGACTATTTTTAAATAACTAATTTCAACTTTTGATAGTCAAACACAACTTTAAAGCCAGCTTGGGATTATGGGTAGGAAAACACAATATTTGTAATAAAATTAATTATTTCATTTAGGGAAGCAATATCAATGTTTTATACTATTTAGAAAACTTCTTAATTGAAGAAGAAAGTTGATGATAACAAAAAGGATGCTGATGAAGAAAGATCGAATATTGATTTGAATGGATGCAATTATGGTAAATAATACAGTTGTTGCGTTTGGCGATAGTAAATTTTCATCAACAACACGCGAGCATGCTCCAGGTCCTGTAAAAGCATTTCACCGAGAGCTTTCTATACACTGCAAAGTGGTGAACGTTGACGAGTTTTTGTGTGGTTTGATAAACATAAAAAATTTTGATCCGACTGACACATTGGAATCGAGATTTGTAACATAAGGAACATTTTTTGCACACCAACACTTATGAAAAGAGACCTGATATGATTATAAGTGGGACTTACTGACCTCTCTGCCATTTTAATTGTGGCAGGATGTGTCTGAGAAGCCCACGGGAGGATTTTGATCTTCCTGATTTAGTGTAACAAAGTTTTCATTTTAGATTTGACCAACATTAGAAATAATCTTCATAATTGACCTGTTACTATTTATTATTTATTATCATTATTATTATTATTATTATTAGCTTCTCAAAAAAAAACTTTTTTTATATATAATTAATTAAACATATGTCTATATGTAATTTTTAAAAACAAATATTCATGAAAACACAAATATGATTTTCGCAATGGAAAACGTCAAAACAAATGATCAATATGCTAGTTGGGACCTTAGTAAAAAGTTAGATTTACTTGGAAGGTGTAAAGAATGTCGAAAAATAAACAATGGCATCTTATGGTGTCAAGCATGTAATAGTAAACATTTTAACGAAGAAGCCAAGCGATGGAAAAGTGGCAATAAAAGATTGGATCAGTTAATTTTGAGAAGACAAGTTGATAGTGCCAGAGATCGATCAGAAATTATTGAATGGATTCCATTTGAAAGCTTTGTTAATGTGAAAATTCAAGCACGTGGATACTACTCAACTGTTTATACAGCACAGTGGAAACCCATACTGAAAAGAGATGTAGCAAATGATGGATGGAAAAGATATGATAATTTAAGTATAACTGTTTCATTAAAGGAATTACATGCCACTAGGTTAAGTGATGATTTTTTGGAGGAGGTAAGCGATTTTTTGAAGAGAAATAATTTTATAATTTTATATTATTGCATTCAAATAAACAAATAATTAATATATATTGATAATTAATTTTAAGATTGAGAAAGCAGAATCGATTTTGCAAAAAATTGAAGAAGTTCAGAATGTAAACTATATATGTGGATTCAGCAAGAATCCCGTAACAAAAAACTATGTCATAGTATATAATGAACATGAATATATTGAAAATACATTAAATGTCTGGTATTGTGATAAGGTGATATCACCAATCACTAAACTAAGACAATTGTACCAAATCACAAGAACATTAAAATCCCTCCACAGTAATGACTTAGTATATAAGAATTTACATGCAGGCAATATTTTATTAGATGTGTTTCACAACATTTACTTTACTGATTTTGGAATAACGCACCCGTTCTATAGAGACTCGTCAATAACAACAACTGCATCATCATCCACAACTGTATCACCCACGCACGTCTATGGAGTGTTGCCCTATTTAGCGCCAGAAATTTTACATGGTGAACCATTCACATTCGAATCTGATGTTTATGCATTTGGCATAATTATGTGGCAGATCCTACATCAAGAGAAGCCTTTAAGATATCGTGCGCACGATCAAAATTTAGCAAAGGATATTTGTCTTGGATTACGACCGAAAATTATTTCAAGTTTGCCTAGAACATTGATAAATTTGATTATAAGGTGCTGGGATGCTGATCCTAAGAAAAGACCCACTTCTACGGAATTGTTCGACGATCATTTTGAAGTAATATTTAAGAATTATGTTAAATTAGATAACGATCTGTGCAATTATTTACTCGATCACGAGGAGCTTGATGATGGATTAGAAATGTTCAATAAGCATCTATATAAAAGATTACCTTATCTTCTACAACTTAAAGCAGATCCTAAAGCATGCTATACTTGTAAAATGTACAGCTTTGATGATTTACCGGATCCTGTGAATTCTTCTAAAACAGGTAAAGTACATTTACTTACATTATTTATTTACTTTGAGAAAAAAAAAGTTATTTATAATATTATGATTATTAGAACATTTAGTTGACAGAGAAGAAGATTTAGAAGGTAATGAATGATATATCATATATCATACTTGTCACACTTATCGTTTAACATATAATTTAATTATAACAATAATTACGATGACTAATATGAATGAAAATTTTAGAATTAAAAATAAAGTTGAACAAATTAGAGGGAGTTGATAAAATATCAGAGACAAATGATATAAACAATAACAAAATATTAACTAGACGACAAGCCAAATCCAAAGAAAAGGAATTACAAAAAATACAAAAACAAAAGGAGAAACATGAAAACAAAAGAAGAAAATATATACAAGAAATATCAAATAGAGAAGGGGACCCTTATTTGCGTCAGATACCACCAACATATTATTGCAGAATAAATAAAGATTATCCGTTTTTGCTTGGGGAAGAGTCAATTGAACCTATAACTGATTTGATTGAAGAGGAGAGACTTATATTTAGATCCGATAGACAAAAAAAAACTGGTATTTTAGATGAGATAAGAAAACGAAAGTTCAAAGTGGATCAAAAATATTATCATCCATGTAATTAATCTTTCTTATCCTTGATCTTTTTCTTTAAAGATTACATTTATTTATTTATTTATTTATTTATTTATTTATTTATTTATTTATTTATTTATTCGTTAGATGGACATAAGTATCGATCAGACCTGTCTTCTACTGATATCGAATTTCTTGATATGAGTGAAGAAGGGAGTACGGATGAAGATGAAGCAGATTATTTAAAGCGAATAAAAGAGAAAAAGAAGTTGTTGGAGAATCAGATCTTACAAAACTTAAAAGATATAGAAACTGGTAAGCGTGAGATCTCTAAAAAAATAGCAACCAGGCGTCCAGAAGCGTCACCATCATCACCATCATCATCAAATATTAAGAGTGCTGCTGTAGAAAATGAAAAAAGAAAAGGAAAAAGAAAGAAGGTGTCAAGTAGTGAGTGTATGTATAAATTTATGGATATTAAATTTTTTTTAAACAATAATTGAAAATAATTGTCGTAATAATAGCACTAATAATTAATAATTAATATTTGGTTTTATTAGATGAAGAAGAGCCAGATGATATTGGATCGGATGATTTTCTTGAAGAGACGTTTGTGGTAGACGATGATAACGATTTTTTTGTTGATGAAGATGATGATTTTGTTGTTAGGGATCAGCCACGCAAAAAAGCACCAACAAGAAGAGTTAAAAGGAAAATCAGCATTGACAATGAATGTAAATATAATTCATTATATTATCATTATCATTATTACGTGTATATATGTACGTATATATTGATATGTATTTTACATAATTTTTTAGATAATGACAGTGATTATTCAGATGAATATGATGACGATGAATTTGTTATCAAGGAAACACGTAAACCATCAACAAGAAGAAAAAGCAAACGAAAAATTAATGCTATTAGCAGTGATGATGAATGTAAATACTAATCAATCATTACATATCAATCATTACAACTATATGTATATATATACTAATATATATTATATATATTAATATTAATTTAGTTGATGAATATTATGATAATCTTGACATTGATTATGATGACTATGATATTGACGTTGAGGATGATGAATCATCCTATGATGATAGAAGAAAAAGAAAAAAAGTAAAGAGAAGTGCAAAGAAGAAAAAATCCAATAATAATAAAAAATCCAAGTCAAAACTAAAATCCAAGTCAAAAAGATACCGATAATTATTCTTTGTTGCTGATATTTATGATGATGCTATTTTTATGATGATGAAATTTTAAATGATGATGTTTTAAGATTACGGTGGATAATAATTAAATATACATTTTTACTAGTATTCATAGAAAATTAATTCATAATATTATTTTTTTTTTGTAAATAACATATTTTTTTGCTAAAATTTTTTATAATATAATAATAATTGAATAATATAAATTTATGTCTAATTCCTAATTGGAATTTTAGTTTTCAAGTTTTTGTCAAAATTCAAATAGAATAAAAAAAATGACTGAAGAGAGCAAGCGGAGTAACTAATTATTGGAAGAAAGTATATTGCAATATTAATGTTTAATTTGTAGTACAAGCCATCGATTAATTTTCTGAAAAATAATGTACGATAATTTGTCAGGAAAAATTGTATTAATGTGAGAAGAAATAATAAATCAATTATATCATTATTGTTATTGTTATCATTATCATTATCAATAATAACAATATTAATTATAGTACAGGTGCATCATCAGGAATTGGAGCAGCAACAGCATTAGAATTTGCAAAATATAATTCGAAGATTATATCTTTTTTTTATTAATTACTATTTTTATTGCTATTAATCACTAATTATCAATTCTTAAATTACTACAATTAACTATATTACATTCTGTTGGCAAGACGTGAGGACCGATTGAATGAAATAAAATCTTTGATATTAGCAAATCATCCATCAGTCAAAACACACACTTGTATAGTTGATATCCAAAACAAAGATGAAATAGATGAAAAGATAGCAAATCTTCCTGAAGAATTTAAAGATATTGATATTTTAGTCAATAATGTCAGTCATTAATAATGAATTTACGATTTTGTGTAGTGAGTGATGGCAGTGAATATGAGAAAATTATATTTATTATTAATTAATCTATGTAATTAATATATAGGCCGGTTTAGCAATTGGATTTGATCCAATAGAAAAAAATTCTCAAAAAGATATAGAAACGGTTATTGATACAAATATCAATGGACTTCTTTACATGACTCAAGCTGTACTTCCAATAATGAAAAGGCGCAATTCCGGTGATATCATCAATATTGGAAGTATCTCTGGTAATTGATTAATTTTAATATCAATCTATTTATAATAACCTATAACATATCTTTATGTATGTATGTATAATTTAAAATAGGAACAAATAGTCATGGATATGGTAATACCGTATATGCAGCTACAAAATATGCAACAGAAGGAATCACAGAGTAAGCATCTCTTTATATGTTATTTATACACTATTTATTTTAAAAAATGCGGTAATATTTATCAAAAAATGTTAGTTCTATTCGTAAAGAAACCTTGAGTAGTAAAATTCGTGTGACTTTAATCAGACCAGGTAATCATTATAATTATTCTCAATGTCATCATTTATACTATTCTAGGAATAAAAAAACAAATTCTCTTTTGTTAAATAAATAAATAAGATAATTAATTAATAATTCTTTTATTAGGAGCTGTTAAGACAGAATTTTCATTAGTTAGAACTCGAGGCAACAATGAATTTTCAAAAACTTATTATGATGGATTTGATCCATTATCATCAAAAGATATTGGTAAGATATAATTAATCATTCACTAATGATCATATATCATATCCTAATCTCGTTTTTTATTATTTAATATAGCTGAATGTATAGTTTATACTGCTACAAGACCAAAAAATGTTGTGATATCAGTGTTGGAAGTTTTACCAAATGCTCAAGCTGATATCACAACTATTCATAGATCAAATAGTTCTAATTTTATAAGTTCATTGGGTGATCGATACAAAAATTATAAGAATGATGAATCTTAAAAATCAAGTTAAAAATTTATTATTTATTGTTTTATTTATTTGTTAAATATACTTTAGAAACTATTTTCTATAAAAAAGAGGTAAAATTAATAATTAATGTGAATGATATTTAATTGGTATTTTAATTTATTATTATAACAATTGCCCAACTTCATGTTAAGATTTTTTTAAAGTGTTATTTGTTTACCCTGGCAAAAAATATTTCAAAATAAAGTTTTTTTCATATATATTAATATTTTTATTAAAACAATTAGAATAATTTGTGCAAGTTTATGCATGCAAACATGATTTTTTTCTCCATTTTTCATATAAAATTCACATCGATCGAATTAGTGGGTGACACTTGACCCCCTGTAGTTGTAGAATTTCCCAAACTTGGTTCATCATCAAAACAACATCAAAAATATTATTTGAAGGTCTTTTCAAATAACTTTTAAAATAATTTATACCATCCATCATATTTCTTTTTTTCTGAATCTATTTTTTAAAGGATTACGCATTTATATTTGCTTGTGAGGAAATTGATTAAGGAAGGTATAAATACATGTATATATACACACGTACATCTGGCAACTCACAATATCCAACACCCGTGTATGGCCGAGCTATGATTAGTTCTTAGCAACCCCTGCGGCTGTTGTGTAGAGCAAGATTAAAAGGAATTACCCTCTTTGAGGTATTCATCTTATTGGGTGGATTCCTTCTAGAGCCGACTCCTTTGGTCTTGTGTCTAGTATATTGGACATAATTCTTCCTACACTCATATGTGCTGAGCTAGGTTCTCTCAGTTCTTAGCAACCCCTGCGACTGATGTTTGGTAGAGAAATTCAGAGGATGACTCTCTTTGATGCAGTTCATAATAAACTTCCTCTTAGTAGCCAATTCCTTTGTTTTCTCTACCAGAAGTGTTACATCAAGCCAGATTTTTCTTTTTTTTTATCTATACTGGTTTAATATTTTCATTATTCTATCATAGAAATGTTTTTTGATGTTCTTATCTTGAAGTACCTAGAAATTACTGATTATAATATGTGGTGTTTTGCAGGAACCCTGAAGTATTTAGCAGAGAATGTCAACTATACAAGTGCAAATCTACTGGAAATCAAAGAAGCATTTTGTCAGCATATGCAAAATCGATCTACAAGCTGTGCTTTCTACAAATCAGTACAAATAAAGGCACAGAAGCTTTGCAGTAATATAACATCAACACTGGAACAACCAGAAATTAAAAAAATTCTTAAAGATCAAGATATAAAATATGCTCAGGTTAGTCAAATAAGTCAGTTCCCAATTATTTTTTCTATTGTGCTAAATGATTGATTGCTATAGGAAATATATGACAAAAGTGTTGAATTAAGTGTTATTACTGACAAGTCAACAAAAATAGAAATGTGCAGTAATAGTTACGAGACAGTATGTATTGTCAACACATCATTCAAAACATATCCCTAAATTTGTCTGAAACAGTACATTCTAAATATTTATGTATTCAGTTTTTGAGAAGTGGTTTAAACAAAGACAAGGAGAACATTAACGATGATAACATGAAAGAAGATAGTGATAATGTAGTTATCCACAAAACACCCACATCACCCAATTCAAGACTTGAAAAGGATTCAGGATGTATGTAAGATTTTCCTTCAGCTAATAAGTAACCAATTTTTTTGCCTAATGAAGTCTGTTGGAATTTGAATAGATACCATAAAGCATGGACATGATGATTTAGATGTGACCTCGACTTCAGATGCAGCAAATAAGGTAAGGAAATATCAGCCTAAATTGATGTGATAGATTACATGAATGAATTTCTTGCACTATCTATATATAGAGATCTCACATTGAAGCAAAAAATCTTCTTGATGAATCTAAAAATTGCTCAGAAGAAATGCTTAATTTACAAAGAAATTTTCAAATGTATTGTGATCATGCTAACAACATACTGACAGCAGATGACATCATGGATCTGAGACCATCATCAGAATTTGTTCTGAAGTTTACTGATGAAGTTGATCTTATTGACCAACTTTTCCCAGAGGAAGCTTTTGAGTTTCTTGTAGAGTTCTTTTCTGAGGTATTATTGTCTTTTTTATTAGAGTTTTAATGCTTGTTACTCACAACAACTACTGCTTTCTGTTTTGTTTACAGAAATTAAATGACCAGCAATGGCAAGACAAAATTGAAACCTTAACAAATCCTGAAGCAGATGAAATTTTTAAACAATTAAAAAGGTTTATGTTTGAAATGCTTCCAATATTGTAAGTACATTCTTTGTTTTCATGATGTTTTTGTGACATATGATTTTAAAACATTTATAGCTTTGATTCATATGCAATGAATGCCGAGAACCCATTAAAAAATCAAGAAATGGAAGAAGATGAATACATGAATAATTATATCCATCTGATTCTAAAAAAGGCACTTGCACGGTTTTCAAATATTTGTTATGTCTCGTAAGTATTCTTTCTTTGTTACTCTATGATGTTGTAACTAATTATAGTGATTGTTCTTACACTCTTGCAGTGGCAACAAAGCCATAGAAGCATCAGCGTATAGAAAATCTGTCACAAATCAAAAGGGTAATGCAGACTGGTCTGATGGAATTGTCTATACATCTAATGAAAAGCCATATGAGATATGCATAATAGAAGGAAGTAAACCATATAACACAGAAAATGGAAAAGAAATGGCAGAGTTTCTTCAAAATGCAAGGGCTGGAAAAGATATTATTAATTTTGTCATAACTCAAGAAGTGAAATTAAAACGAGCATTACCAGTGTATTTTTGAGGATTTATGGTACACAGTTTTGAGCTGAATTTACGATTCTATTTCATGGATTATTTGGGTATGTATATCAATATCCTGCAGCATTTTAGATACATGTAAATTTTACAAATCTTTTTATTAGGCCAATACTGAATTTTTGAAATTGAGACCTGCAAAGTACCCACAGATCTTACTGGTGTTCGTTTATTTCCCTTTCTGTATCGTGCTGTGGTAACATGGGCTGTGAGTCTTAAGTTGTTATTATTGAGTAAAGAATTGATTTCTAATTATTCCAATTTCTATCTCATAGCTGATGATTAAGGATGCCGATAGAGAGTTCCAGTTACTTAGAAATTCCAAAAGAAGCTCTCGCTACAGCAATGCTCACAATTTACAAGTTTTGATGCAATTATCTCACAATCAAGCTTGGCCAGATGACAAAAAAAGCATGAAGATGAATAAAATTATTTAAACAACACAAGTTAGCACATATCATACTTTATGAATTCATATTGGACAAAGTTTAAGTAGTTAGTTGAATTAAAATTTTTTGAATTTTGCTTTATTAAGTATATATATTGAAATAAATGCATTTAGATTTTTATAAGATTCAATTAAAGTAATCAAGATTGGAAAACACTAAATTTTTTACGTGGATGAAACAAATCTTTTAAGTTCATTCTTCTATTTTATCCATTTTCTTTTATATATATGAGATGTGTAAAGTAGAGACTTTAATTCCATAAATTGGTTATATATGATATTAGTGTCGTATTATATGAATCGATTTTATCAAATTAAAAATAAATAAAATAAAATCAACATCTTCTTATGATAAATCAATTAATGGAAAGACTGACATCAAATTTATTGCCACTTGGTGTTGCACAAAGATTTTTTTGATGCGATTGAATTTTTTTTGAATTTATTTTGACAGATGACAAAATGCGAGTGATGTTATTTGCTATAATTTGGTTCTAAAGGCGTGTTAATAGCTAACCAGAGGCACCTCTTTTTTAATTTATATTGATATGTCTTGTTGAAATTAGCAGATCTTGCTGTAAGTGACCGGTATTTTGCTTTTTGTAATTAATATTTATTACAAGATGTCAAGACAGCACGACTGAAACAATTCAAGTATGTGACGTTTGATTATTGGAAATTTACAGATGTTAATGTATGCCCACTGCCTTGAACACTTTACAGTCATTCGCTTGTTTCTCGTGTACACTGACTTGGTCCCCCGATGATACAATGATGCAACTGAATTCCAGGGGTAGGTATGTCCTGGAGTTTGGCAAGATTGCATCAATTGTCAATGATGTTTTCATTAATCTTTCCAGACCAGATAAGACTGCTGACATGTTAGACGAAGAGCTGCCTGCAACAATTTTGCCTCTAGGTAAGAATGGATCTGCGACCAAGTTGCAACTCTGCAGCCTTTGAAGAATTGACAAACACCCAGATTCATCAAAGCAACGAGAATCTGCAACTTGTTTCAAGATTGAAATAGTGCAAAAACGGCTTTAACAAAAAAAAATTTTTTTTTGATAAAAATGTTCATAACAGTCTGTTTATTGATATCCAAATGTTTGTTTTACAAAAATGCAAGTGGAAACATTATGTTAAAATAGGAATGTAAGGCGAACTGGATGATTTTTACTATAAAATGTTACAAATGCTCACTATTTAAAATTCGCTTCTTCTTAAAAGAATCACGAATTAATGTTTTCATTTGAAACCTTTTTATTGTTGGTATTAGTAACGGCAACATCTAATCATTATAATCAGGATCTTTTACCACTTCTATCTGTTGCTTCCGTTGTTGCTGTTGATAAATGGAGGAAGACAACATCAAACATGTTTATGACAAGGAAGAAAATAGTGCCGAAGACATCCATGGAGAATTTGTTGTAGTTGATATGATAATAATGATAATAATAAACTGCGAAATAACCTTGATTCTATATTCTTCAATCTTTTAGTGATAGACATTGATGTGTATGTCGAGTTTGATTGCTTGGCGAATTACTAACTAAGAGATAATATGAAAGAGGATATAATTAATTCATTGAAATATTATTGTTAATGATTGACTACTTGCAGCAAAAAACCTACTTTAATTTTGGCATCAAAAAAAAGATCCCGCAAATGAATATACACAACCTTTAATTATATCATGAAATAAATATTCACTAAACATCTTGAATTCTAAATAACTGAAATCTCTCATTTAGCCAAAACACCGCCTCGCCAGAGACTGTTTCATTAGTTTTTGTGGTGATTTTTGCCAATCTGATCATGAGTAGAATCAACGACATTTTTGATGATAAAAAAATTTTGCAGATAATAAAATAATAAAATATTACATTTATTGTTGTCATTTGGCGCTAGTATTTATAACTTAAAGTAATCAACAATAAAGTAGAATTACAATCAGCATATACACGAGAACCAAGTATTTCTTTAATAGATAAAGGTGTTGTAGATTTACAGGTACGTCAGTATCACTACGTTGCCTAATGTTGCCTTTTAAAATTGCTCAACGTTGCTTAATTTTGCTCGACGTTGCTTAATTTTGCTCAACGTTGCTTAATTTTGCTCAACGTTGCTTAACTTTGCTCAACGTTTCCTGCGACGCCTTGCTGACATTTTGAGAGTACGGTGCAGATCATCTATAATCATTAATTGCTTATAGTCAATTTCAAAATACTAAAACAAAAAAACATTATATCATTTTAAAAAATTTAACCGATAAGTTTATTGTTCATGACTCAAGCTTCAAAACTTATTGGCTAGTTTTTTCTTAAACTGAAAATTGGCAGAGCCTTAGCATTTTGAAAATTCCGAATTTTGTTATACATTTAAGAAATTGAGACTAAATAAATTTCGTGTAACAACTATTTTTTTCATGGAATATTTTCTACAACATACGTTTGATTTATTTGATTTATTTGATTTATTTATTTCCTTTTTTTTTATTAATAAATAAAAGTTCTTTACAACAAAAAAGTTTAACGAACATATTACATTAAAAGAAAATCATTACCAACTTTGGTCTTGAGATTCAACACGAAAATTATTGTTGCACTTCTGAGCATAACTTTCAAATTTAAAAAATCTATGAAAAGAAAATTTGAGGCAAAATTTTTTTTTAGATTAATAGACTCCCCTTTTAAAGCTGATTTAAATGGTGGTGGGTTTTTTAAAATCCAATGTGTGGATCACATAATATTTCAAAAATTAACTTTTGAGTATAGATGATCCGCACTGTAGTATAAACAAAGGATATACTTAAATTATATCAGTGATTAATTAATTAACAAATTTAAATGTAAAAAATGTTTACTTGTCTGTAATATTGCGAAATCACACAGAGACCAAACTTATTGGAAGTATTGAATAGCATTTCATAAAAATGTGGTAAATAAATATTTTTTTCAATGATAAATCCATTACATTTTTTTTAGTACAACCAATTAATTATTCAAATTATTGTATCATTTCAATTTTACAACCAATTCATGTTTTGGAAAACCCAATATAAATTTATTTATTTTTAAAGAAATAATTTAAATAATTTGTAAATTTATGATAATTAAATAATCATTAAATTCTAATATAAATATTATAAAATCGTATAAAAAAAATTTTAATGGAAAAGTTTTTATATAATAAATTTACAACACTTAACAAGACGTCAAACAACACCACGTATTGTTTAATGTTAAAAATGGCATCAATCATTGTCGTGTTTATCATATTAAATTTGCAGCTTCTATCAACATTCTTTTAATTTCCTGATGAATAATGTAGAGATTTCCGCTAAAATGATCACTTATAATTTTTTTTGTATTCTCTATTTTTTTGCGATGTTTTTCTTGCACCATTTTAAAAGTTCAAACCCAGGATATTGAGATATGATGCAACAACATGATAAAGTAAATTCTTTTGTACTTTAATCACCACACATGTACCAAGTCTTTAATGTAATTTATGATATTGAAAATAATCTTCAAAATATGATCATTTTGAATGGAGTAATCATCAAGAACATTGATAATGATCAAACAATACATTTAATCTCAACTAATTATTAATCTTTATTTTGGAGATCTATTTTCAGCAACCCATGGTTCTTTACTTGAATCATTCAATTTCTCTTCTCTAGCTATCTCAATGTAGCATTTATAAATATCAACTGTTTCTTTAAGGATATTTTATTTATGCCAAATTGGAGTAAATTTAGATTAATAAATACAAATGAGAATCAATTTTCTGTACTTACATGGACATTTAAAATAACACTGCAACATTTGAGATCTTGGTGGATTTCACTGATCATCAGTGGAATGTCAAAATAATCTATATCTGAAACATCATACCACTTTGAGTAAAGTGCTGATAGTGCAATTACATTATACCTTCATGATGAGTAGATAATTGCCAGAAGTGTAACCAGCAATCTAGCTTCATCAATTTCTTTTTATTTACCTCTAGGAGGAAGGGTTCTGTCAATGATTTGGAGCATATCACAAAGATTTTTACAAAGTTTGATGACAGCTTAGTTTTATTTCCAATTTTGGTGCCAGTGTTCTCAAACAAACCTAATTCATGGCCCCAATAGGTTTCTTTTCCAAGATCATGAACCTTAGTGGAATAATAAAATATCAAAACTAAACAACATATAACAACAGAACCACAGCAAATCTTAAGCAAGGCAAAAGCAACTTACTGAGAAAATCCAATCAAACCTACTACCCTCATCTTTATTAGTCCCATTTGATGCGTATTCCTGAACATAATGGATGGTCATATCCTAGATCTTCTATTTTTATCTTGTGTAACTCATTTTCAACAGCTTCTCTCTTCCCCAAATGCTGTCATTGCAACCTTATGAACCTCATTTATCAATGTTTCAAAATTTTTTGTTGCATTAACAACCCATGGATCTTCCACATTCTGTAGATAAAAAATATCCACTATAAAATTAAATGCACAAAGTGAACAGCTCTGCTGATAATAAACATGACTGGCTATTAATTCACCAAGCATTTAATTCTAATGATGAACAAATATAATCAAATGCCTCAGAAATTTAGAAAAAAGAAAGATGAAAAATTAGTAATTGAAAATATAAAAGATAGATAATCAATCATATATACAAAAGGTTAACAGTTATTAACTAAAGTCATTATCACATATTGTGTTGTATTGTGTTAAAATTGGTTGTTGTGAGACTTTAACTAGCCAAAGAAAAGCAAAGTAAATAAAAAGGTTAAAAATTCTATTTATAACTTGCTTCGTGTGTATTTTTTTTTTTTAAAGACAAAAAAATTAAATTTGCTTATTATTTTTGAAGAAAATTCCTTTACTATATACAAAAGGAGGGATCAGCATCAATCCATTTATGGTATATAAAAACCCTGACTGCATTACGTTACATCACCAATGAATTGATTTCATTGGTCGATCGATCTTGATCTTGTAATACAATAATAAGCCAATGATAGGATTTTTAGTTACGCTCCATTTATATTATTTTTTTTTTTTTTACAACGATATAATATGGAAGACGAAGAACATCAACATCACGATTTTGATACTTCTGGATCAGGCGCATCGACCACTTATCCTGTTCAATGTTCTTCCCTTAGAAAGGTAATTTACCCAATTAGGCCGTATACTTATAAAAAACAAAGTAATTTATGCGAAAGTACAAATGTTTTATATATTTTAGAATGGATTTGTCATGCTTAAAGGTAGACCATGCAAGATTGTTGAAATGACTACCAGTAAAACTGGTAAACATGGTCATGCGGTAATGATAAATCTTGTAAATCTTTTAATATAAATGTAGTAGTTTCATATTAATAATTTTAAATCATAGAAAGTTCATCTTGTTGGTATTGATATCTTCACTGGGAAGAAACTTGAAGGTAAAAAAAAATCATGATAAACAAATTCATTGGAGTTAATTGGAGTAATATTTCAATGAATAATAAATTTATCAAATTTTAAACCTGTTATTAACTAATTTTATAAAAGATCTTTCTCCGTCTACCCACAATATGGATGTTCCAAATGTCAATCGTAAGCTTTAAAATTTTTTTGCGCAGTTTTTCAATATTATATTTACTATAATCTTTGATATTTTTTAAAAAAAAGGTACTGAATACCAACTTTTGAACATCGATGATGGTTTTTTGAGTTTGATGACTTCTGATGGTACTACCAAAGATGATGTTCGTGTTCCGGATGGTGAATTGGGTGCAAAAATTCAAGCTGATTTTGATGATGGTACTCTAATATATATATATATAATATTACATCAAAATTTTAGAAGTTTATTATTAAATTAATTTTTAAATTATGATTAGGTAAAGAGCTTCTGGTTACCATTCTTAGTGCAATGGGTGAAGAGGCTGCTGTTTCTCATAAAGAAGCACCAAAATGTATGTATTATCGAATTATCATTTAAATTTAATATCATTTTTTTTCATCCTGAAACTAACTTAATTCTATTTTACAGCCTGATTATTAAAAAATTATTCGGTTTCAACAAATAACATTGATATATTTTCCTTTTCCTTTTTAGAAAACAATATTTATGAAAATTTTTGATTATATTATTTTAATATTTGATACATAATATATATAAAAAAATTGTGTCTTTTTAATAATCATTTTAATAATGATAATTAAACTCATTCTTAAAAAAAAAGAGCGTACACAAAAATTGTATATCTCAACAATTACACAATATAATCGAATAAATTCATTTACTTTATTAAGAATTCTTCAACATTATTTTTTCATGATGTACCACATGTTCTCAATAGGATTAAATCCAAAAATGTAAGTTGTGTGCTTCTAACTTCGGATAAACCATTTTTTTACATTGTCCTTTTCCTTTTGAAATTAAACTTTGCAAACATTGGTTATCATGTAAACAAACCTACCCAATCATTTTTATCTTAATAAATTTACATTACAACCGTGCCCTTTTTAGATATATGTGAAAAGTGGTGGTTGTAAATGCTCTTTGTACTTGCTTTGCCCGAAGTTCTGCTTATCCTCATAAATTCTGCAAATTTTCTGTAAACCCGATTCATTCATTCAACCTTTAAAAGGCCAAGTACGTAACACTTGACTAACTGTTAGTCATATGTAAAGTTAATTGAACACATTTTTTTCGCACAATTATCTTTTTTTTCTTTTCTCTCTTCACCTAATGATAAGCATGACGAATGATACGAATGAAAAATTATTAAGATTTCTTTTGACACTGAAAGAAATACCAAAAAAAAATTTAAGTGAGGTCCCTAAATATAATGATAATGGACATTGATTGCTCTGCAGTCGTGAAAAAAAAAAAATCAATTGCAAAATTGAAATCACACCTTGCAAATGAGTGTTTACATTGTCCTGAAGATGTCGGCAAGTATTAGAAAGAAGAACTTGCAAGTGAATCCGACATTTGCAAAAATCTTCGAATAAATAATCATCATTCACTACTACTGATCCCACTGCTATTACCAACTTACCACAAGAACTAGTCAAAATTTTTGTTTCTCAATGAATTAATCGTTCTTTATTAAAGGATCTGGGTGATGGTTAGAATTACATCACTATAAAAAATTTTTACCGGAAAACAGTATATTTGCCACATGCTTTCAGTTTTATCATACATAAAGTGTACTGACTGAACCTTCCAATGAAAGAGAGCCTTTCCGTATGTATTCTGTACGTATACTGATGAGGAAAAAAATGAAGATGTTTAAATACTATAATCTGAAATTGAAAAGGTTCTATGACAGCATTTTAGAATTTTTGAATTCAAGAAAATGGGATGCGCAAATTAGAACAAGCTTTAAATAAAATTATCGAAGAAAATATTTATGTTAAGTATTCCAAAGTGATAAACAAAAATGAATATTTTATCTTTCTACGAAAGTTTAAATTAAATTGATGGTATCATTTACTTTGGATTTTTGTTAAAGAAGAAGATACAATAGAGACGAAAAGACCATAATGAATAGTTGAAATCACTGCAAAAGAAAACAATTAAAAAACATAAGAAAAGCAATTAGAGAAAAACAAAGACAAGGAACTTGAAATGCTTGTTTATTTGCTGGCCTGGAATTTAATCAAGAACAAAACAAAAAATTAAAAAATTAAACTAACCTATAAACATAATAACAAAGATCTAGAATCATGAAAGAAAAAGCAAAGAAATTTATAATGACATCCGTAATAAACACAGGAACTTCTTATGAAAATGTTGCGATTTGAAATTTATTAATTAAATTTTGGGGCGAAAATATCAAAGAATCAGAGGAAATTTTGCCACCTATTTTGGTGGCAATTAAAATTTGAAAAGAAGTAGCTTGATTATTCAGAATTAAAGGAAGTCAAAGAAGAAAATGACGTATTAATTGAGATAGGAAATAAATTGTATATTATTTAAGAAAATTATCTGATGAATCAAAGAAATGATCTGATGAACTCTAAATCTTGAAACAATGTTATTGTGGTGGCATCCAACCTCTAGTAAAATTAGAAAAAGACCAGGGCCCTTTGAACATCAATATTACTCAAATAAAATGATCAAGAGAAGAAATACCTTGGTAAGGCCCCGAACGAATCAATGAAATTCGACCGATTCGAACAGATAATTTGATTCGAACGGATTCGAATTCGGATTGGTTCGATTCGATTCGAACAGATTCGAATATATAATTTGATTCGAACTGATTTGATTTGATTCAAACTGACTGGTTCGAATCTATAATAATAACTGATTTGAATCAAATACACTATATTGATATATAATAAATGAAAAATCTTTATTTTAATGTATATTTTATAATTTTATTTACAAAAATATTTTTTATTTATATAGTATAAATATTGTAAAATTCAAAAAAAAAATTTTACCTGGAGCAATAATTGCATCAATATTAGTACTTATTATTTTAGATTTAATGAATTGTACAACTGTAAATCGTTATTTTTTTTAATAATATAGGTCACCCATTAATATTAGTATTAATATCAAAAAATCCGTTATTATTAAAAACTCGAATAAATATCATATCAAGAAGAATTTTATTATCATTAAACCATTCGTAGACTTCAATCCATTAGTATTCATTAAATGGAGGCACACTAATTGAGATTCACTGTGTAATATAAATTTAAATTATCAAATTAAAAATATAAATTTAATATGACGTTAAAAAATTTTAGGAATCACTCTCACGAGGTTCACTTCACCAATTCAAGAAAACAAACATTAATAAGGACTATACATGAAGCCGAAATTAAAACCCAAAAGTAGAAATTACATTATACAAAAAAATTAATCAAAAATCTTCAAGTTGCCGTGACTCGGACAATATCCGGCTGTTTTGGATAAAACAACTACCGTTCGAAACCTCTCAATGAAGTGAGTGGTTAATTCATAAAATTTAAATCACCAATTATTGAAATATTTTAGTTTGTTATATCTTATTAATTATGATAAATCAATTCGACTTCATGTATAATGTTAATACCAACTATCCAAATTATAAATTTTTAATGTATAAAATTTGTTTCTTTATACGAAAATTACATGTTTATACAAGCTTTAAGCTTATTGGAATAATGTTTTTCTTTTCTTCGTATTAAATGAATTTTGAAATTTCAATGTATGTTAGTTAGTTACGCTTACTATTTAAACCTTTAATCGACGGCCAAATAGTAAAGTCTTCTTTTTGTCTATCAAAACAGGAAAGAAAATTAATCCGAGATTTTAGGTTTATGTTTTTCCCAAGCCCGTTTAATTAATCACTTCAGTTTATATAGAAACTGGTTCTTATAGGTTTATAATTAAGCAAAATCCACAAAACAATTCAGGCGTAAAGACAGGGCATTTTTATTTGAAAATTTGGATTATGAAAATATTTGCATTTTGGTTTTTTTATGTGAAAATGGGTTTATTGGTAATGTATTTAACATGGGGCAAGTTGTAGCATCTATTACATTGTTATCTGGTGGTGAATTTACAGGGAAGCATTGTATTAGTGTATATATATATGATTTTTAAAGCAACGAGGGTGTGCCAAATTTGGTCAGCTGAGACATGTTGCAAAATTTGATCAATCATATGTAAAAATCATTAAAGCTATCTCTCTTATCTCTCTATACATTAAGTTTTTTTTTTTTTTTTTTTGGAAACAATGAGTGAATTAAAGAATTTTCCAAAGAACTATTATTATATTATATTTATATACATGTTAGTTTTTAATAAATCATAATTAATCATCCAACATTCGGAGCTAAATAACCGTGATATGATAAGGTTTTTAATTAGTAATGTAATGATAAAATAAACAAAATAATATTAATGATTCTTTTATTACCAATGACTCTATCCCTTCTTCATCATCTGCTGGAGGTTGTGATTCTGCTGCTGTTGATAATGATAAAAACTAAAAATAAAGTCATTAATAATTTGAAATCTGATAGAATGAATGACAGTTTTATTTTATTAAAATTATAATGTTACCTCTTCTGCTTCTGATTTAGAAACAGTAGAATCCATAGCTTCTTCAGAACTAATCAAGGTCAAATGATCTCTCACAACCAACGTCCAAAAATCTGTTTTTGGTGGTGAATATTGAACGCACAAGTTTTTTAATTCTCTAAGAAAGTTATTATAGCTTTCAACTTCATTTTCCTTTTATAATATATTTGAAAATCGAAAGTAAATTAATAAATTAGCTTATAAAATAAATTAACATATCTTGGCTCTATCGACTTTAATTTAATTGATTACCCGTGAAGCAACCGTACGTAAGAGTTTTAAACATTCTAATGCCTTTGGATAATGAGAGTCCCAAAATGAAATTTTAACTAAATCCAATATGATTTTGGCCATTTGCGAAATAGCTAAAATATAAATATAAACAGTAATATAATATTTGTGTGAATGGATAATAATAATAAATTTTATGGAAAATACTATTATTAATCAAGTATTATATTATTGTTGTTATTACTACCTGTACTGACTAAATCTTCCTCTCTATATGAAATCATATTATTAAAATCAGATATTGGATCTGTTGCACCAACTTCTCGAGTGACAGCATTTTTATCTTTTAATAAAGAATCTACATCAATTTCAGCTCTGGCTCTTTTTTCAACTGTTTGTTCTTCACTACTAGCACTTAATAATTCACTTATAGGAATCTCTGCTTCTGCAGGCTTATTGGCCTCGGCAAATCTACGCTTAGCAGTTTTTCCTTTTTCTTTGGCTGTATATGTTAAAAAATATTATTTTACTTAGTATTTTACCAGTTCAATCAAATAAACATACAAATATATAAGAGTGCGGGAGCGTGGATGATATCTTTTACCTTTTTTAACATTAAGAAGTTTTTTTAATTCTTCAACAACAACTTTATTTTTTTCTGCTAATGTTGGTAACAACTTTGTTTGTGAAATAATTTCTGAATCTAATGCAGGTATTGGAGTGTCTGGATTTAATGCTTTATGTGCAATTGCTTTTTTTAGAGCATAGAGAGTCGGATTATAACATTCTTTTAATTTTAAATGTTCTTTAGGATTTCTATAATTTTAATAATATAATTTTTGTTAAGGAGTTACAACAAATATATGTGTTTATCATATATATATTTATTACCCGTTATTGTCTACTGCAGCCTCCATAAGATCCATTCCTTTAATAAAAATTTCCATTTTATCCAATACTTCAACACTTGGTAAATTAGGATGTGTGTCAACTCTTCTCCCACTTGTTGTAAATATACGTTCCAAAGAAGGAAGTTCAATGTATTTACGATCTTCTTTGAAAGGGATCTATAGATAAAATAAAATAATTTCAAACTTCAATAATGATGACGATACCTCATAAGAATAAACTTAAATTACCAATATAGATGAGACAATTAATTAAATTGATAACTACTTACAAAGGAAAAGTATAAACATTCTTTTTTTGGTGTGATATGAGGAGCTAACACACCTAATTTTGGAGCTTCAAAATTTCTTCGTACATATCTAACTAAAGCATAAGTTTCTTTCTCATATAATCCATGAATCAGAGCAGAGAGATAATTTGCTGCCAAATAATTATTTTTTGGTGGGACTATTGTGTAAACTTTATCAAGAAGATATTCTCTTTTAAACTAGTTTTTAAATAAATCAGACTAAATTAATACTATATACAAAAATATGTGTGTACAAACATGCTATTTTATTTTAGTAACAAAGATTTTCACCTGATTTGATCTAATAAAACCAAGTATAGAAAATGATTGAGTAGTATTCAAACTTAGAACACCTTCTTCAATATTAGTGACAGGAATAAAAGTTTTTCCTAACAAATATGCCTTATCTAACTCTTCTTTGGACACATCAATGATCTCAGTTTTTCCATCCTCGTTAACAGTTATAGAAAATGTTCTAGACATGTTTACTTCGCATGTTTTCCCGTCCTGATTTGTTGCTGATTCAGCAAAAGTTGAGTATTTTTTTGCAGTTAAACGAGTTGATTTCATCGTTTTTGTGTAAGCTTCCACTTCGATAGCAAGAGAACGTTCAGGATGCATCGAAGGATCGTTTAAAGTTAATTGACCGCGGTATGATGCCACAAATTTTACTTGTCTAATATGTGGTTTGGATAATTGAGATAACGCTTCTGGTAATGTAAACAATGTTCCATTAGATGCCTCACAAAGTTTTTGGAGAATTTCTTCATTATGAACCTAACAAGATTATTGATGGATGCATTTTAACATAATTTTAAATTTCATTGTATACACATTTGAAAGTTTATGATACCTTTTGATCGGATTTATTTTCCCTTTTTAAATCTGAATATGGATCGTCAAAATCTACACCCCTAAAGAAAAATATTAATATTATAATAATGTTTTTCCAAAGGCTAATTTTTCTCAGCATAATAATAGTGATAATAATACAAACAATATATTCAATTCAATTTTATCTCTTGATAAAGCATCCAATACATTATCAATTTCAGTATCACTCATTGGAGATTCACCATCAGTTAAAAGATAAATCTTTTTCGTGTATTTTAATTGTCTGCAATGTTGGTTTATCATATTTGATGCAAGTGTAATTGCATTTAATGCTATAAAAAAAAATGTTTATTTTCTAAATTAGAATAATAAAAATACTGATTCAGATAAATAATCATTACACTTCAATTAATTAATGAATTAACCAACCATCTGCCTGCACATTTCCCCTGGTTAATTTATCATTTACAGTTCTAAGAATAGATATTAAAGGTTGTGATATAGGATAGAGTACAGATATATTTTTATAAGCTTCCGATCCATTATATAAGTCATTATCAGTTTCTATAACAATATATTTTGCACATGTATAAACATTAATTAAATACTTCATAATAGTTTTTTTGAAAGAAAATTTGCATTTTCTTTCTTACCATCAGCTCCACAGACTATTAAACTAGTCAAATCTGACTTTAAACCTGCCATAACCTTTTGTTTATTTATTTATTGTAAAAGAAGGAAAAAAGGTCAATCGATATAAAGACCAAGTATCAAGATAATTTTAGTTGAATGCTATAAATAACATGTGCCTTAGCTTCTAACAATCTCAAAAGAGCTTGTTTAGCCAACTCTAAAGCAGTTCGACCATCATCACGTTTAACATGCCACATAGTAGGGGAAACATCAATAATATAAACTGTAGCTTTTTTATCTGCCATGTTTAAAAAGTTGGAAAAATAAAAAGTTATGATTATCGTTTTGGATTTATATAAATGGGGCATACATATACTGCGAACATTTATTTGTTATTGTATTACCAAGGATTTCAGGGCTCAAAATTATAAATGATGAAAGTTTGATTTTATTATTGGTTGTAAGATGTGACAAAATAAAGTCTAGTTTTTTGATTTTATGGAACGTGTGACGAGGACTCCGGAATAAAGACCGCTTTATCTCTCCGCATTATTCATTCTTTAGATTTGGAGGAAGACGAGGAAGGAGGATGTTTAAAAAGGGGAGTTTTTCAAAGTTGTAGACGACGTTAATTGCTTTTTATAATAAATTCGCAATTTTTTACACTAACACTACGATAAATACTTTATCTGTAAAATGGAAGCTTTCTTAGTATTTGTTTCAGCTATAAACTTATTTATCGCATTGTATAAACGTGTATAGTCTGGCTAGTGGACGGATGATTGCGATAAAGAGAGAGAGAAAACTTTATTAAAACGTTGGATGGATCGTTAAGTGTAGTAGGTATAGATAACACCGAAAGATTAGAGTGGCTCTGTGGTTTCGGAACTGGTGATGTATTGAAACAGTGTGTAAGTTTACAAATTTATAAATTAGGTATGAAGAATTAATCGGTTTTCCTGTAAGGGCGAAAAATGCTCATTAGAGAGGATATCAAAATATATTATTATGCATTTTCGTTACTCCCACCGTCGATATGAATAACACATAAAGTGGTCTGTAGGTAGCGAATGGACCTTGTCTTGTAGTATGATTAATATCGTGGGGCTTGGGAAATAGCTATAAAACATAATATGTTGTGGTGTTCCATAGCTGTTTGGGGTGTTACACATCAGTATAAACACAAACATAGTTGAGCACACTTATAAAAAACTATATGTAAGGATTTTTTA